TCAAAAGGTAATGGGTGCAGGAATAAGCAGCTTCATTTAACAAACTAGCTGAGCCCCTCTCCTGAAGAGACTTTGGCCTGATAATGGAAAGATGATTCCAATAAAATGTAATGGGTACAGGAATAAGCAGCGTGTTTACACATAATAGGCTGAGCTCTTAACCTGAAGAGACTATGCCTTAACAATGTGAAGATGACTCCAGAAAAAGGAATGGGTGCAGGAATAAGCAGCTTGATTAAACATATGAGCGGCACTCCCAACCTGAAGAGACTGTGGCTTACCAATGTGAAGACAACTCCATAAAAGGTGATGGGTGCAGGAATAAGCAGCTTGATTCAACAAATTAGCTGAGCTCTTAATCTGAAGAGACTTAACAGCTTGATTATGTGAAGATGAATCCACAAAAAAAGCAATGCGTGCAGGAATAAGCAGCTTGATTGAGCTGGGCTTCTAGCCTGAAGAGACTGTGGCTTGATTAAGTGAAGATGACTCCACAAAAGGTGAATGATTCAACAGCAGCGGTCAAGAGGACCAAAATAAATAACAGAAAAACAAGAGAGGAAACAAGAAAAAAGTCAAAAAGTATGATAATGATGAAGTTTTGTTTTAATTATAATTTACTTAAATCTTGGCAAGTATAGCTAACAGTGTGGTATTCACTTTATCATTATGACACTACTAAAGATGTTTGGCTTGACAGCAGTGGTCAATAAAAAAAATACACTAAAACAATGGAAAAAGTACTCTTCTAGATGCAGGAATGAGAAGCTGAACACAACCTTTCAACTGCGCTCCCAACCTTAAGAGAGACTGTGGCTTGATTATATGAAGGTGAGTCCACAGAAAGTAATGGGTACAGGAATAAGCAGCTTGATTCAACATATGAGCTGCACTCCCAGCCTGAAGAGATTGTCTGTGGCTGGATTATCTGAAGATGACCCCACAAAAAGTAATGGGTGCAGGAATAAGCAGCTTGATTCAACGTATCAGCTGCACTCCCAACCTGAAGAGGCTGGGGCTTGATTAAGTGAAGATGACTCCACAAAAGGTGAATTATTTAATAGCAGTGGGTCAAGGAGACCAGAATAAACCATAGAAAAACAAGAGGGAAAAAAAAAAAAAAGAAAAAATTCAAAAAGAAAAGTATGATTTTTTATGCAAAACTTGGCAAGCGTAGCTAACAGTGTGGTATCCACTTTATCATCAGATGTTTCAATAAGTGAAAATGATATTAAAGAGAAAGAAATAACAAAATAAACAGTGTAGAAAGAACAGAAAAGTAAAAAGGTAAGACTTTGATCAATGTTTAGTTAATAGGACTGGGTGACTTTGCCCAGGAGATTGCACTTATCTAAGGGTGAGTTCACAGTTTAACGATGTTTTATTCAATACATTTGTAGCAGTAACTAATAATTGTTGTATCCACTTTTATCATGAGATGTTTTTAGTGGCTGCAACTGAAAAAAGTGAAAAAAAAATACACAGCTGTAAGTATTACTTTTCAAGAAAACTTTACACCTAAAGCCATTGCACTCACTAATGAAGATCACGCAGTTAAAAATAAAATGGAAACAACCTATTTGATCCAAGCCCTTGCTGAATACACACATAAAAAACATCTTGTCACAGGCCTGCCAAATCACCAGTCAACCTCAACGACCACAACTAGTTTGCCCAACATTCCAAATTTGGCTGGAAGTATTATAACGTATCCATTATTATCAAATTATTAACCGTCTTATACTAGCAAACATTTTTTTCACTCATTCAATAAATCTCTTATTGAACATAATTATGTAGGCATGTCTGCACCATGGCTAAGAAATACTAATGACAGTTTTTGTGGGCTTCATATTTGTCTTCACAGCCCATAAGAATGAACTCCCGAAAGCACCTAGAAAATTATCTTAAACTTCCTCAGCAGTTTTGTTTTAATAGTGGGTTACTCAAACATTGGCTGGCAGTAGTGTTTTGTATCCACTTTTATAACCAAGTGTTTTAACAGGTCCTGCTTATGTAAAAGAGAAAGAAAACAAACAGCAGCAAGAAGAGTTAAAATTAAAGAACTGAACAATTGTAGAAGTATCACAGCCTCTAAGAAGACTGAGCACCAAATGACAGCCTTCCAGGAAAATACGAAGCTTGACGTTAACCACCTGTCTCCCAGTTTCTATGATTGCAACAAGATAAGTCACCCTCCAGTGTTATGCCAGTGAAAAAGTATTAAGGGAAGTTCCTCTTGACAATGGTCGGCCAGTAGCAATTGCTTCACAGAGTCTAACACCAAGAGAGAGATGATACACCCTAACATAAAAGGAAGGAGTGCCTCGCAATCTTGTTTGCCAGCCACAGGTTCAGCCAGTACCTTTCTCAGTTAGACAAGATCATGAGTTGCGTGGATTTGTGATCAACTTTTAGAAACTTACCAATAACCAGACAAGTACCAAAAGTGGTATCACTCCATCTACCATGAGGATCCCATGGTAACTGGGTACATCCTGTTCAAGATGGCAAGTAACTGCCCAATTGCATTGCCAAGCAAATTTGTAAGGAAGTGATTAACGAGCTGTTGAAAAACCGGAAACCACATCGTCAGAACAGAAAGTAGGTGGCCCTTTGCCCCTACCAAACTTTGCCTCACAGAGCATCAATTTCCAGTGAGATAGATCTAAAAATCCAAAGTTCAAGCCAACATAGTGTTCTGGCCGTCAACTTGGGAAAAGAGTTTGAACAAGATTTTTTCCACATAATATGCTGTACCAGTTTTTGTTGTACCCTGACAATACCAAAAAGGTTTTCCTTGAGGTCAGGAATATTTCCGAAGGAAGTTGGCAGAACTGATGATTTTAAGGGTTTAAAATACAAGGGGATGCTATTCATCAGACGGCAAGACATGATCTTCCACCTCCACTGAGTAAAGAACTGCCCACGAATAGTGACCTTAGGTGACCAGTGTGACTGACAAATGGCTCAGCTGTAATGGCTTTGAAGCCCACGCCTGATTGTTATTTTATGTTTATCTCTTTTTGTTATCTCTTTAGTTTACAACATTTTTTGTCCCTAGTATACAATTCAAAGCAAGGTTAAATAAACTTAAAAAACTAAACCAGCCTTCTATTAATGCTGCTGAAAGTTAGAAATAGTTGTATTCATCAAATCATAACCTTGTCTTGGACGATTTTCTTAGTATATCATTATTTTTCTTATTTTATATGAATAAGAAGGAGGATGTGGTAAGCATTATTTCCATTCATGTATGTCAATGTGCCTATAGAAAGCTTACAGTCTAAGTAGCTAGTTGGACTTAATCTCTGTAAATGATAGCATTTTTCAATCATTGGAATTTATTATAAATAGCTAATACTAAGTGATAGAGAATATGACCTCATCCAGCTCATCAGCACGTCTGTGAGTAATGTGATAGCCAACACCCTCAAAATAAGAATGCCCCTTTTCAACAAGCAAGGGGTATCAATGATCTTGGTCCCTCACTCCTAATGATGAAGTAAACACTGCTGGCATAAACGCCAAGGTTGGCATGACTATCAGCCACCTCCTGTGTAAAGGGTGAACATGAATCTTGTTCCTTGCTGTCACGTTCCATTCAACACCGTTGATTCTTATTGGTGGCATGGCATTTGGTTGACCAGTCAATTCAATTCAGATTTTTAATGGTTTTATTTTTGATACTGTTGAGATCACTTTGTGTGATGAACCATAACAATATCTCAGTGAATAGTGAATAATAATACATGAGCAGCAGACATAATTATTTAACTCAGAGACCAGTTTGATTCTTGACATGTGTTAGTGGAACCGAACATTCTGCCTCACTTTTGTGTGCAACACTTGCTCAACCATACACTATACTCCACACTTCTTGCTGGATTTGTAGAGTTGTTCATATTCAGTAATTGCTACTTCGTCACAACCAGAAAATGCTTGACTTTTTTTTCAAAGCACCAGGGCATTTAGAACACTTTAAAGAGTGAGAAATGGTGACCTATATGAGACGCCAAATCATCGGGAAATGCCATTGCTGTCCTTCCTTGGCCATCTTAGACATCACAGGTGAAAAAAACTGCTTTAATTGTGGTGGAGGTTGCCCTCTGGTTGTCCTGGATGAAATCATACATCAGTGTGCTAACAAAGTCAGTTTTACAGCTTGTCATTCGGGCACATGGCAGCTAGCAAGTACTAGCCCAAGAGTCATTTTAATAAGCCCCCAAAAAATTATTTATGATGAGCAGGATTGAATACAGTTCTTCTCTAATGTGAATTTCTTTAAAAAAAAGAAAAAAACTTTAGCCTATCTGGCAAGTTAAGAACAGAATTAAAGTAAACGAGTGAGGGACGCGACCCCAACCTAGAGGGAGCTAAATTCTTGGAAATGTCATTCCCTCGTTTTAAGACCTATTTTATGCAAATCGGCCGTTGTTATCTTAAGACAACAATTTAAAACGTTTGATCCCAATAATTTTACTCTGTCTTCAATGTTCTCTTTCCAAAATGCCTGGCCCATAAAAATAAAAGCTGTGTATACCTTAGTACTTTTCCATATTATTCATTCATTTCCTTGACTGGCTCTGATCACAACTTGTGTATTTTTTAAAACTACTTATTTCATTTTAGTAAACCTTCAACTGGTTGCAGGTGGTAAGAAGCATTGTTCAGCAGGTAAATTTTACTGGTTACTCACTCCCTGATAAGGAGACCATTACTAACCCGAAGAGTCTGTGGGTTAACAATGTGAAGATGACACCACTTCAGGTGGAAAAAAAAGAACTATACAAAAACAATGGAGAAAACACTCTTCTTGGTGCAGGAGTCGACAGCTTAATTCAACATCTGAGCTGCGCTCCCAACATAAAGAGACTGTGGCTTGATTATGTGAAGATGACTCTGATCTACAAAAAGTGATGGGTGCAGGAATAAGCCTTATGATTCAACATCTGAGCTGAGGTCCTCACCTGAAAAGACTGTGGCTTGATAATGTGAAGATGACTCCACAAAAGGTGATGGGTGCAGGAATAAGCAGCGTTATTCAACATCTGACCTCCGCTCCTCACCTAAAAAGACTGTGGCTTTACAAAGTGAAGATGACTCCACAAAAGGTGATGGATGCAGGAATAAGGAGCCTGATTCATCATGTGAAGTGCACACCCAACCTGAAGAGACTGTGGCTTGACGATGTGAAGATGACTCCACAAAAGGTGATGGATGCAGGAATAAGCAGCTTGATTAAACATATGAACTGCGCTCCCAACCCGAAAAGACTGTGGCTTGATTATGTGAAGATGACTCCACAAAAGTTGATGGGTGCAGGAATAAGCAGCATGATTCATCATGTGCAGTGCGCTCCTAACCTGAAGAGACTGTGGCTTGACAATGTGAAGATAACTCCATAAAAGGTGATGGCTGCAGGAATTCAACATCTGAGCTGTGCTCCTAACATATAGAGACTGGCTTACCAATGTGATCAAGACACCAGTACGCGAGTTTAGCTTCACAGCTGCGGTCAAGTACAAAAGATAGAACTATACAAAAACAATGGAGAAAACGCTCTTCTAGGTACAAGAGTCGACAGCTTAATTCAACATCTGAGCTGTGCTCCTAACATACAGAGACTGGCTTACCAATGTGCTCATGACACCAGTACGCGAGTTTAGCTTGACAGCTACGGTCAAGTACAAAAGATAGAACTATACAAAAACAATGGAGAAAACGCTCTTCTAGGTGCAGGAGTCGACAGCTTAATTCAACATCTGAGCTGTGCTCCTAACATATAGAGACTGACTTATCAATGTGCTCATGACACCAGTACATGAGTTTAGCTTCACAGCTGTGGTCAAGTACAAAAGATAGAACTATACAAAAACAACGGAGAAAACGCTCTTCTAGGTGCAGGAGTCGACAGCTTAATTCAACATCTGAGCTGTGCTCCTAACATATAGAGACTGACTTATCAATGTGCTCATGACACCAGTACGTGAGTTTAGCTTCACAGCTGTGGTCAAGTACAAAAGATAGAACTATACAAAAACAATGGAGAAAACGCTCTTCTAGGTGCAGGAATTAGCAGCTCGATTCAACCTCTAAGCTGCACTCCCAACCTGAAGAGACTGTGGCTTAACAATGTGAAGATAACACCACAAAAGGTGAATGATTTAACAGCAGTGGTCAAGAAGACCAAAATATACAACAGAAAAAAAAACAGACAAGAAACAAGAGAAAAGTCAAAAAGTATGATGACAATGAAGTCTTGTTTTAAATATGTTTTATTCAAAACTTAGCTAGCATAGCTAACAGTGTGGTATCTACTTTATCATCAGATGTGTTTCAACGAGTGTGTGTTACTACTTCACTGTGATTCTTATTCGTGTATAAAGAAAACGTTTGTTAATTATATTATCTTGGAATATCCCATCTTTAATACTCTAAATGAAGATAATAAAATAATTATCATTTCTTCTTTTGTAATAACATAGACCCTTTTATCTGTAAGAAAAAAATAGGTTATTTTGTTTTCCAGTCTTTCAATAAAAGGAAACAAGAGTCAGGATGTTGTAACTAATTATTATTATTTATAATGTAATAATTATTTCTACTATTATCCTTTATTTATTATTATTTATTTTAATTTTTTTTCTTCTATGCAATACCATCTATGTAAATGGGAATGCAAATAAAGATTGTTGCTGTTGTTGACAATGAGTGAAACTGAACTTAAAGAGAAAGAAATAACAGAATAAACAGATAAGAAACAAGAGAAAGGTAAAAAAGTACATGACTATGATCAATTTTTAGTTTATATGTGGCTAAATGTAATTTAGGCAAGGTTAATCTCAAGCTAATGCTGCCAGCCGTCTCGCCCAGTTTGCACATGATCTGTGGGGGCGCCCTTAGAGTTCGCAAGGGCAAACTACATACAGCCTTGCCCTCTAGCGATCGTTACGATCAGTGCTTTTGTGAGCGAATCTTTGCGGATTCATTAGCCTTCATCAGCCTTCCAGCCTGTAATTTTTTTTCCGTTATGCCTCGTTCAACTCAAAACAGTCAAGCGACACCTCTTGTCAAGGTTGAATCTGATGGGAATCATCCGTCTTCATACAGTGACGTCAGTGTGTCTGCGACTGGATGACTGCTTAGGAGATGGAACTTATTTAAGGGGGAGTTTATAAGATTCCTATAATTATTTAACAATGTTTTATTCAACACATGGGTGGCAGCAACTAACAGTGATGTATCCACTTTTATCATCAGATGTTTTCAATGGCTGAAACTAAAGAGAAAGAAAAAACACACAGCTGCAAGTGTACTTTCCAACAAAACCCCACACCAAAAGATAATGCGCTCACTGACTAATGAAGATCACACAGATAAAATTGAAACGACCAATCTGATCGAAGCCCTTGATAAATACACACATAAAAAACATCCTCTTGTCACAGGCTTGCCAAATCACCAGTCAACCCCAACGTTTACAACTAGTTTGCCCAACATGGTTTTTAAAGAGCCCTGATGACACTTCTTACATCTGTCACCCCATTTCAACATCCTACCAAGTTTAATATTTTACCGAGAATTTTGTGGGCAGTAGCTAATTGTGTTATAACGTATCCATTTTTATCAAATTATAAACCTTCTTATTCAATAAATATCTTATTGACCACATGTGGGCCTATCTGCACTGTGGCTTAGAAATATTAATGACTTTTTTATTAATTTTTCTGAGTTTTTGTGGGCTTCGTATTTGTCGTCACAGCCTGTAAGAATGAACTCCCATAAGTAGAAAATTCTCTTAAAGTTTGCTTCCAAATCCTCAGCAGTTTTGTTTTAATAGTGTTTTACTCAAAATTTGGCTGGCAGTAGTGTGTTGTATCCACTCTTATAATAAGATGTGTTTTAACAGGTCCTTCTGAAGCAAAAGAGAAAGAAAAAACACAGCTGCAAGAAGAGTTTAAATTAAAGGACTGAAAACTCGTAGAAGTAGCACAGTCTCTAAGCCTCTACTATATGCTTAATCAGTTGGCCAGTCACTAAGACATTAACTTCAACCTGACCCACCGGCACTTAATAAGAGCCACAAAAAATAATAAGTTACCAGTAATAGTATGTAGTGCAATTCTTTCTCCAAGCCATGTGAAAAAACACTGCCATCAGCACATTTGAATTGCATGTTACGTTGTTTTTTTATTTTGAGAAACATTATTAGGCCAATAATAGCTTGTTTTCCAGAAAGCCCAAGGAAATTAATTTCACCACACAAAAGGAAGACAGTGGCTGTTTCTTGGACAAAAAACAAGGAGATTGCTTTAGTGCAATATATAGCATTGTTAATTCTTGCAACCTAAAGCAGAGTGAGTGGCCAACGTTTGGTGTATTGGGCGAAAGCTGCAGCATTCATTCATTAGGTGGAGTCAGAATTATTCTTTCAAAACAGGAAAGCCAGTTGTGAAAATATCTCCAAAGGTAAAATGTAACATCTCAAATTATATTGTCTTTACTTTTTTCTTTCTTGCATTACTCTGTTTTTCTGAGTTCTTTTATATGTCTGCCTACCACTATTGTATAGAGATTTTTATGGAGTATGCAACCTCATGAGTTGTTCCTTAAAAAATATAATAATTATTACGTATATTTGTGTTCTTTACAGATCATAAGGAATGTGATTATGGCAAGACAACATCAGGACGAAAGCTTAGCCTTGTGAGACATCCCTTTCCAGACAAAAACAGGGAAAGGTTTTATTACTGACATGTGAATGACCCTTCAGTAAATGAGAGAGCTGTGGATGATTTTCAACCATGTGCTCAGCTACGAAAATTGTTTAAGGAAGGTAATGGATACTGACAAACACGTATTCACATGTAAAGAATATTCATTTGTCATAAAAAAGAAATGAATATACTTATAGAAACCTATTTTGATAACAATTATTCATCTATTTCTCCTGAAAGGATCACTTAGTGACACAAGTGCCATTTAAGAATTTAGTAGATCTAATCATCAAAAAACACCTGCCACCTTGAAGACCTGCCGCTCAAGAAAACAAGATGGGATGAAACAAGGAAAAGGCTTCAAAGATCCAAGAAACAAGATGTGTTGTATTATCCTAATGGACATTTCATTATTAATTGTTACACAATGCATTTTGTCATCAAACATATATCATGACTTTTAATGTGGCTAAATGTAATTTAGGCAACGTTAATCCCTAAGCAATGTTGGTCAGCAGTTTTCCCAGCCATGCTGGGGGTGGCCCAATGCCTCTTGCAGGGGTACCTTGTGACTTGTATATGCAGTTGCTTGCTTGCAGTTCTTCACAAAGTGTTGTCCTAATAGCTTGTTGCTTGCTGGTCATTTTGTGCTGTGTTTTTTACTCTTCCTCGAACAATGACTGCTTGCCGGACCCACAACGGTCTGTCTGCTGGTTTTCAAGACAAAAATTCACAACCAGGTGCATTTCTGAGCGAAGCCGAGGAAGGCCACATGGAGGCCACTACAAGAAGGGTGCGATCACGATCCCCTGTAATCCGGGGAAGTGCAGAAGTTTCAACTGTAAGGTGGGGAAATCTTGATGAGGATGTTGTTGTTTCATTTCCTGATTTTAGAGGACAACATGGTCTTGTTACCCTTCAAGTTACTGAGTCTGAGCCATATGATTTTTTTAGTCTTTTATTTCCACAAGAACTCTGGGAAGTTTTAGTGGAACAAACTAACATTTATGCTGCTCAGAAACAGAGAAAATCTTGGTTCAATGATACCAATAAAGATGAAATGAAAGCATTTGTTGGAGCACTAATTTTTATGGCTGTACACAGGCTACCTAATTTTGATCACTACTTTTCTCGTGATTGGGTTTTTGCTGTTCCTGCAATACAAAATGTTTCTACGAGAAACAGATTCTGGCAACTGCGGCAGAATTTTCATTTGGCTGACAATTCAAGACAACCTGCTCCTACTGATGAGGGCTCTGATAAGCTGTACAAATTACGGC